TGTGTCTCTGTGTCTCTGTGTCTCTGTGTCCAGCTCTGTGTCCAGCTCTGTGTCTCTGTGTCCAGCTCTGTGTCCAGCTCTGTGTCTCTGTGTCCAGCTCTGTGTCTCTGTGTCTCTGTGTTTCTGTGTCCAGCTCTGTGTCTCTGTGTCTCTGTGTCCAGCTCTGTGTCTCTGTGTCTCTGTGTCCAGCTCTGTGTCCAGCTCTGTGTCCAGCTCTCTGTCTCTGTGTCCAGCTCTGTGTCGCTGTGTCTCTGTGTCTCTGTGTCCAGCTCTGTGTCTCTGTGTCTCTGTGTCTCTGTGTCTCTGTGTCCAGCTCTGTGTCCAGCTCTGTGTCTCTGTGTCCAGCTCTGTGTCCAGCTCTGTGTCCAGCTCTGTGTCCAGCTCTGTGTCTCTGTGTCCAGCTCTGTGTCTCTGTGTCTCTGTGTCCAGCTCTGTGTCCAGCTCTGTGTCTCTGTGTCCAGCTCTGTGTCTCTGTGTCTCTGTGTCCAGCTCTGTGTCTAGCTCTCTGTCTCTGTGTCCAGCTCTGTGTCCAGCGCTGTGTCTCTGTGTCCAGCTCTGTGTCTCTGTGTCTCTGTGTCCAGCTCTGTGTCTCTGTGTCTCTGTGTCCAGCTCTGTGTCCAGCTCTGTGTCTCTGTGTCCAGCTCTGTGTCTCTGTGTCTCTGTGTCCAGCTCTGTGTCTCTGTGTCCAGCTCTGTGTCTCTGTGTCTCTGTGTCCAGCTCTGTGTCTCTGTGTCTCTGTGTCCAGCTCTGTGTCCAGCTCTGTGTCCAGCTCTGTGTCTCTGTGTCTCTGTGTCTCTGTGTCCAGCTCTGTGTCTCTGTGTCTCTGTGTCTCTGTGTCCAGCTCTGTGTCTCTGTGTCTCTGTGTCCAGCTCTGTGTCCAGCTCTGTGTCCAGCTCTGTGTCCAGCTCTGTGTCTCTGTGTCTCTGTGTCCAGCTCTGTGTCTCTGTGTCCAGCTCTGTGTCCAGCTCTGTGTCTCTGTGTCTCTGTGTCCTGCTCTGTGTCCAGCTCTGTGTCTCTGTGTCCAGCGGCTCCTGATCTCAGCTCTGTGTCTCTGTGTCCAGCTCTGTGTCTCTGTGTCTCTGTGTCGAGCTCTGTGTCTCTGTTTCCAGCTCTGTGTCTCGGTGTCCAGCTCTATGTCCAGCTCTGTGTCTCTGTGTCCAGCTCTGTGTCTCTGTGTCCAGCGGCTCCTGATCTCAGCTCTGTGTCTCTGTGTCCAGCTCTGTGTCCTGCGGCTCCGGCTGTTCCTGCGCCGGGGATATGTGGACACCGGGACACTCTCTGAACATTTATTATAGAATTTTTTTTATTTTTTTATTTAACGCTATTACAGTTTTTTTGGATTGCTAAACGCCAGTGAGCACAACTGGAGCTACATGTGCTAAACTCTAACTACAGTCTGCACAGCAGCAGTTCATGTGGACCAAACTCTAGTTCGTTTTTCATTGCTTGAACACAGTTTTCAAAACTCTACACACTTATCCCATGACTTTAACCACAACCTGCACAACACTGTGGATTTACAGCACTTTGTCCAAATGTTAACACATTTGACTGCACACACACACACACACACACACACACACACACACACACACTGCTGACTCTACTCTCAGCTGAACGGCTGACACCTGTGGCCTGATGCTGGAGAGAGGAGATCAGACCCGCAGTTATCTGTTCGAATTACAGTATGTACTTTTAGTTTCTACCTTTTTTTTCTCATTACTGTAATTACGTAAATTACTACAGACTATTGAAGCAAGCTGCTAATTTTCATTTACCTTAAAGGAGAACTCCGGCGCAAAATGAACCTTTGGTCTAATAACACATTGGTACCTAGTCAACCGTTCTCTGAGATTTGTTTTCATGATAATCGAATGTAAAGAGTTTTATCTCTAAAAACTGTTTAGCGTATAACGCTAGTAATGGGGGCATATAATAAGTAAAAATAAATCGCTAGTTAATACCACTAACAAGACTCAAAATAGCCCCACACTAACACAGTAACATAATGAGGGTCCCTACATGCAAACCGAAACATTGAGAACTTTGTAAGTGTACAGAGCGTTTAATAAGAAGATATTTTATGAAGACAGTCCACTTCGAGTATACAGACAGGAGCCATCTTTGGAAAACAGTCTCGACTAATCAAACCACGAACGCCATTCATACAGTTCAGAAGTTCACTGAACTTCATACAGTTCAGCTCACTTAGCACGTCGTTCGTGGTTTGACTAGTCGAGACTGTTTTCCAAAGATGGCTCCTGTCTGTATACTCGAAGTGGACTGTCTTCATAAAATATCTTCTTATTAAACGGTCTGTACACTTACAAAGTTCTCAATGCTTCGTTTTGCATGTAGGGACCCTCATTATGTTACTGTGTTAGTGTGGGGCTATTTTGAGTCTTGTTAGTGGTATAAACTAGCGATTTCTTTTTACTTAGCCTATTATATGCCCCCATTACTAGCGTTATACGCTAAACAGTTTTTAGAGATACCAATGTTTTATTAGACCAAAGGTTCAGTTCTCCTTTAAAGAATTGTAATGTTCTAAAAATTTTAATAAATCATGTGAAAGAATGTCACTCTTTTCTTTGAAGAAAATATTACTTACTTTGTATGAAGTCACTGAAATTGTTCAAATTGTAAAGATGAAAAGTGTGTATTTTCTGTATTGGTGTTTGATGCTAGTGTTTTTCCTCTCAGTGTGTTCTGAGTGACAGTGTGTGTTATCTCAGTGAGGGTTGTGTAGTGTGTGTCTGCATGAGCCTGTGTTGATTGTGTGTTAAGAGTTGTGTTGCTTTGCTTGGAATGAGTTGTGCAGGTGATGTGAGCTGTGTTGCTCAGGGGACTGTTGGTAGTGCAGACTGGAGTTAGAGTTTAGCACATGTAGCTCCAGTCGTGCTCACTGGCGTTTAGCGATCCAAAAAAAACTGCAATGCAAGTGGAACGAGCTGATGACCACTCACTATACAGAGAAAGAAGAAGTGTCACACACATGTGTGGTCTCTCTCTCTCTCTCTGTGTGTGTGTGTGTGTGTGTGTGTGTGTGTGTGTGTGTGTGTGTGTGTGTGTGTGTGTGTGTGTGTGTGTGTGTGTGTGTGTGTGTGCGTGTGTGCGTGTGTGTGTGTGTGTGTGTGTGTGTGTGTGTGAGAAGTGTCGGCTCTTTGATGTCACCTCATCTGGTCTGAGATGTAGATGTTCTGGGATGTCAGACGATGTCCAGAGTCGTGACGCTCGTATAAACAGCGTCGAGCCGCACGTCGTTACGCTCACTAAAAGCTTCTTAACTCCACTTTCAGCTTTTAACAAACAAATGCTGATTTATATTTAACAAATGCTGATTAAAGGGTCAATGACAAAAAAAGAGTGTCTTTGATAAAGAATACAACACATGGTTTTGAAAAGTTTTATATAAGAAAGGTTTGTCTTTAATGGTGTGTGTGCTGTAACACTGAGGGAAGAGTGCAATATATTTCCCGTACACCTTGAATTCTCGTGTTGTGAGAATGTTGTGGCAATGTTCCCATTAAGTTGTGAAAATGTTATTTCTGGATGTTCAAAACGTCCAGTTTTTAAAAACATTTTTGATGGTTATGCAAATATTAAGAGAACATTTCATTGTATCATTCTGCAAAAATTATGGCAACGTTAGGCTACTTTTAAATCTTACTTTTTCTACTAGGCTACATGAGTAGAATTGAATAAAACTATTAAGTACTTTATTTTTAATGTACTTAAGTATTAAAAGAAAAAAGTACTGATTAATGAATGTTTATTTATGTATAATTCTATATACTCCATCTCCTACAGGCTAGACACACAGAGCTGAAACAGATCTGACATCATTATGAATTATTATGAATTGTCAAATAACCAGCATTATAAGTAAAATTATGCAGACACTTAATATGTATTGATCTGCAAGCAAGAAAACGTTTATTTTATTACCATAACTTGATAAATACTACTGATAATAGAGATAATTCAATAACAAAATACACCATATAGGCTATTGTATAAAAATTAGGAAAAACAAAATGTTTGTAAATGTGTTTGACAAAATAGCTATAACATACATGGGGTAAAATGTGATACGATCAGAAAAGATAAGAATGCTAGTTTTGCATCATTTGAAACTGCTGCGACATTAATTTGCACTATTTTAGCGTTATGTTTAGTTTTCGACCTCGTTCACAGGGTGATACACAGGTCCTAATTCAAACATATCAAATGGCTTAACCAGCTCGCACTTTTAAAGCAGATTAAGTTCCCAAACAACTGACCTAAATATGATTTTCATTTACAATAATAAATCCTAAAGCTCGGCATTAGTCGCTCCGAGGATATCCGCTCTTGCGTCGAGGTGAGTCTTTTCCTCGTGAAGGCAGTGAATCGTGAGCTGGAGACCCGATCTGACCGGATCAGAACCGAGAATAGATCGGGTTAGGGACTCAGGAGTTAAGCGATTGCAGGATCACTGAAGAGATCAGCTCGTTCTCGGACCACGTGGCGATTTCCTCAGTTCTAAAACACTTGTGAAGAGTAGTGGAGCAAAAAGGACAATTTTATGCTTTGGGATGTAATGAAGTAAAAGTAAAAGTTTCCCAAAATAAAAATACTCTGATAAAGTAGGCTACAGATACTTGAGAAACTTCGGTACAACGAAGTAAAAATGACACAAATAGTTTCAGAGACTCGTTGATCTGGACACGATCGTGATGTTTCTGGCGCATCTTTACCTGGTTATACACACGGTTTGGCAGACACATATTAAATATGATTTCAAATGAATAATCAGTGAGACCGTGTTTTTAACAATTTTAATAAAAGTACATTCGTAGAAGAAAATGTACTAAATAGAACCTTAAGGGGTTAGTGTTTAGTTTTAATTAATATTTATGTTATCTCTATGAAAAAAACGAAACATGAAAGTAAATGTAAGCTATTTAGAGAACCTTTTAGGCATAAAGAGCTCTTTAGAGTTGGGTCAAGAACACTGAAGCGTTTCTCTGAGAGTGTAATAATAAAAGCCTGTCACAATGCTATATTTAATGTGTTTTTGCTCTTAATGAGACTCATTATGATATCAGGATCACCCTGAGAAAACATCCAGACGTATGTCCGTACGAATGCTGATATATTTGACCTGCATATGTAGAATATGAAGTGTGTGTGTGTCGGGAGCCAGAGGTCAGCGCTGAGATGGAGTGTGTGTGTTACGAGGGCCGACGCGTCTCCTCTGTAACGCGGGTGTGTTTGGGCCCTAATGCATCGACCTCGACCCCGGGGCCTGTAAATCAACATCTGTAAATCAACATCTGAGCCTCACATCTGCATGTTTACCTCAGAGAGAGAGAGAGAGACGGCCTGAAACTGCTCCATCATCATGCTCTGCTATTATAGTTTTGGAAATATTCAGTTTTATATGTATGTTAGGAAAACTGCTGTTAATAGCATCAGCGCTTTACTCTGGCGTCTGGTTTCTGCAGTTGTGGTGCCGGTGAATGTGATGGCCAACAGGGGGCGACAGCGTCTTCCTTCCTCAGAAACTCCTGCCAGGTCATGTTCATAAAGCGCCTGAATCATGAATAAATGCATGAGAGCGGGATCAGTGTGTGTGCATCGCATCGTTCACGCAAAGCAAGCTTTGTATAACAAACCACACAATAACAAGAAAATACCACAGATAGTTTGGTTGCCCTTTATATTACAGCATCTGCACTTACAGCGGTCTTGTACTGTAGAAAGTGATCAGCTGACTTAACAAAAATGGAGGAAATAAAATTATGAAGTAAATAAACAACATGCTTAATAAAAAAAAAATTAAGTAATGTGGAATCGTCAAGTTCACATAACTTTCAATTAAGCATCAAGTTTATTTACATAATAATTTTAAAGCAAGGGGTTTCCTCAATTTTCAAAGTAAGTGAACTGAACACTTTCTACATGTTAAGGTTGGGTTAATAAGTGCAGAGTGTGTGTATGCCGGACTGTAAAATAAAACGTGAGCAATAGAGCAGTGTGTTTGGGCCAGATGCGATTGGTTTTCCAGCTCTATGCCCCCCGAACACAGCTAATCCAGGCCCGTTTATAACTCTCCCCATACAGCGCTCAAGCAGAGGTCAGAGGTCAGATCCACTCGGGGATTTAGAGTCTTATTATAATCGCAGAACGGCGAGAGCTTCGAGGAACTGCGGGGCCGACAGGAACCCGTTACCTTCAGTCAGGAGCATGTGAACACAGACCGATCAGACGGCTTCACGTTCCCTCCCGTACAGGACAACACATCTCAGCACTTCTCTTCTCAGAACTATTATTGAGTTCATCTGAGGGAACTGTAGAAGTATTGTAGAGGAGAGCTGGAAGGGTTGTTCTGTCAGTCACTGGTATTTTCCCATCTAGTCCTTCATCGTCATCATCATCATCATCATTATCATATTCATCTTCAACATCATCATCATCATCTTCTTCTTCTCCTCAGGTCTTCAGTTTTTAGCCCAATGTTACATTTCCATGTTAATGCAAAACTCTTTATCTTACACTATCAACAATCTGCTTTTGTATGTTAACACAATATTTATTTAAAAAACTGGTATACTTTATTTTACAGTGTCATTGTTACCCGTTACACGACATGCAACTAATACACTATAATTCATCACTGAGTTATCTAATTCATGTCATTTCATTACGTTTCCCTTTGACAAAGCAAAGTAAGGCACTACTCTTCATTTTTTTGTGATTTAGTTACAGTTACTTCTGATTTCTATTTGAATTTAAATTTAATGCGGATATTTAATTTTTTATTACAATTCTATATAAGACAATAGTGGATTTAACATTAACATTGTTGAAATGTATGTTTTTAATGTAACTTTCTCCCTTTCAATACTTCAGTCAGGTCAAGAATAATTTATGCAGTTGTGTATTATTTATTTGCAAGAATTAAAAGAGCATTTCGTTGTGTTGTTCAACTCAAGGCTGATGTGGGATTGAGAAAGTAATTAGTAATAAATAATCCAAAACTTTTTAGATAGAGTAATTAGTACATTAATTTAAATACACTGTTGATGATAGTTAGTAGTTAGTAATGAATCACTGTTTTAGAGTAACTGACCCTGTAAGTACATGTATTTAATTAATGTTACTTCAGCATATAATTACTGTAACCTTACAATGAAGTGTAATTAAAATATGACTTTCTTTACACCGCTTCAGAAATATAACATCAATAATACAGTAAAAAAAACTGTTTCTTAGCATTAGCAAATATATTATTAACATCAAAAGTTGTATCTGTTAACATTAGTAAATGCATGAACAAACAATGAACATTTCGATTGAACTAACATGAGCAAAGATAATAAATGTGTTAAAAATATAATATGTTCACTAACACGTTAACTAATGGATTATGATTACTGACCTTTGTAACATGTAGCTTTTCTTGTACCTGTTGTCTGTTACTACTAACTGTAGTTACTATTATTAATAATAGTCACTAAAACTTGATTGGTCAGTCATAACATCAGCAGATTTACGCAGTTCATCGAGTTCAGACTGAAGGAGCTGATGTCGAGCGACTCGTATATGATCCTCAGGTGATGAAGATGATGAAGATGATGAAGATGATGAACAGGACTAGGGGTTAAGGGGGGTTACTGACCAAATGCAGTTTATTTCATAACTCAAGTTGTGGTTTGTTGTGAGTGTTTTCTGTTGTGTTCTCACTCATGTATGGCTTCAGTGGTTCAGCTCAATAGTAGAAGAAGAAGTTGGTCATGTTTTTATACAATGATAGTACATGTACACACACGCATGGTCATTAGAATTAATATTAGAGATTTCAGGGTACAACAAGGCAGTTTTGTTCTTCCGGCACAGACGTTTGCCCTGTAATGAGATCCAGACGAGCGAAAGAAACGGAGAAAAGCACAACTGAGAGTTTAGTGAGTCTATCGCATATTCCAGTGGATAACTGTGTACAACAGAACATCTACACAAGTATATGCAACACTTTATTCTATATTTGAATATTCAGTAGTAAATGTAGAGGAGAGTGTAAATGTGTCTGTAAACTGCTCTAGTAACATTAATGTTTCACAGCAGCAGTGTGTGTGTGTGTGTGTGTGTGTGTGTGTGTGTGTGTGTGTGTGTGTGTGTGTGTGTGTGTGTGTGTGTGTGTGTGTGTGTGTGTGTGTGTGTGTGTGTGTGTGTGTAAGTGTGGCCTGGTAAACCCTACGTTATGGGGACAAAATGTCCCCACAAGGATGGCAATATCCGAAATCCTTGTTCGTGTGGGGACATTTTTTGGTCCCCATGAGGAGATCAGCTTATAAATCATACTAAGTGATGTTGTTTGAAAATGTAAAAATGCAGAATGTTTCCTGTGATGGGTAGGTTTAGGGATAGGGTTAGTGTAAGGGAATAGAATATACAGTCTGTACAGTATAAAAATCATTATGTCTATGGAAAGTCCCCATAAAACATGAAAACACAACAAGTGTGTGTGTGTGTGTGTGTGTGTGTGTGTGTGTGTGTGTGTGTGTGTGTGTGTGTGTGTGTGTGTGTGTGTGTGTGTGTGTGTGTGTGTGTGTGTGTGTGTGTGTACGGTGTGTATCATTGTAATCATTTAAAAGGGTTATGTGATATTTATTCCCTTCTCTCACTGAAACCCTCTTATTGTTAGTGCTTAACATTAGTTGCATTCAAACACAATTGTAGTGTAATTAAAATTTTTTTTTAAAAGTTAATATAGAGAATTAATCTTTTGCACATGAAGGAAAAATAAACATATGCAATACAATAAAGTAACAAATGCTGCAAGTACGCTGTACAAATTCCCTCTATTTCAGCTGAAGACTGAAGCTCAGTAAATCAACTTGATTGTACAAAAATATATTAATCTGACTTATAAATCTCTCGTTATGCTACATCATCACCAGATATTCCATTTAATCTTTTTGTCATCTTGTTTTCTTTCAATTAGGGCCGGTTTTGTATTCAATTTGGGAACGGATCGATCGTAGGCCTTATATCTCAGTTTTTGAGTGAAAAAAAAAGTTATTTGTGGATAATTTTGTCAATTTTACATAAAATATTTATGCAAAAAATGCAGTGTTGATCCCACTAGTGTGCTTTCATTTCTAACCAGGAAATTTGTTTTGAAATGGTTTTATTTTGTACAAAATTATAGGCCAACGATCAATCAGTTTCAAAAATAAATACGAAACCTGTCCTAATTTAAAGAAAACAAGTTGACAAAAATATTGCATCCTATGTTTGTTTATAAAATAGCATAACAAGATATTTATAAGGTATTTTTTGTAGGCCGGTCATTTTTGACCGTGAACATCATAAGTGTGACTGTGCTATTTTGTACAAAATGAAAGCATTTCAAGACAAATTTCCTGGTTAAACAAGCACACTAGTGTAATAAACACTGCAATTTATTTCCATATTTTATGTAAAAATTGACCAAATTATCCACAAATAACGCTTTTTTCACTCAAAAACGTGAGGTATGTAAGCTCGGATAAATAAGGCCTACGATCCATCAGTTCCAAAAAGAAATATGAAAAACGTTCCTAATTGAATGAAAACACGCTGAATCTTATATTTAGTGATGATGTAGCATAATCAGAGATTTATACGCAATTTTTGTAGGCCGGGAACATCACAAGTGTTACAATGTGGGGGAAAAAACACAAAATATTCAAAATATTTAGGGAAGTTGTAAGACACTGGGTGAGTAAAGTCAGTATATTTTAGTCCAATGCAATAACATTAACTCGGGTTCGAACACAACATGAGGGTTCAATTATGTTGATGAGTTACATAAGTTGCCATCTGATCATAATTGTTTTCATCAGATATGTACTAAGAATGAGAGAAGCTTGTTTCGGATGGTTGTGTCATAAATCAGGCTCAGAAATATGTAAAGACTTGTGTTGAGGAAGCCTTGTTATGAGCGACACCGGGTAAGGGAACACGTAACACAACAGACTGAATGTGATTCAAGGCCCTGATATCCTCGAGAAGTTACTCTAACTAAAGCCTCTATCAGCCATTGAAATCACCTCCAGTATTCAGATTAGTGATCGATCCACATGTCTTCCAGTGGCTGACTCTTGAATGATTACACTTCATCTGTTTTCAGGCTTGTTTATTCGCTGTAATCACATGCTAACCGCGCACCGGTGTCGAGTCTGAAACTGAGGAAGGCTTAACACCTACTGTGTTCAATCCACCTCCGCAAACACTCATTTAACTAATGCCTGAATGTCAATTAGACAAAGTAGCAGATCCATTGTGTGTAACCTGGAGGTGTAAAACCGGCTTAGTCCCCGGGATTAGACGATTCCTCTAATTATTCAATCAGGACCGTTTTATGGCTCGTTTTAAATAGGAAGCGTTTATGAACGCATGAAACACTCAGACCATTACTGTAGTGACAGCTGAGACAAATATCATTTCAGGCACATCTGACATGTTCAAAGAGATGCACAATTATTGAAAACAGCTGTAGACCGAAAATATGCAGTATTGGGCTTTACAGTTTCTATATGTGGAATACA